CACACACACACACACACAACCTCCTCATCACTCGGAAACAATCTGCCATAGTCATGTTTTTTTTTAGTGTATAGAGAATATGACGACAAAAAAAAAAAATGATAAAAAAACCCGCCGGTGTAACAACCGCGGCTCCGCCCCCCTCTTCGTCCCTCTCCTCTACCGCAGCGTGGCTGCGGCAGGTCCACTTGTTTAGCCAATTTTTAGAGATCATTTGTAGTTTCCCTTTACTGACAGTGTCACAGTACGGTAATTTTACCGTAATCCTGTGCCTTGGGTTGATGCCAAAGACTTTCTTCGTGACCCTTGTAACGATCCCACGAGTGATTTGCCATCCTCTTACTATATTTAACAGTTTTACCCCTGCGTCTATATCCAATAGCTCATCCAAACTCTTTTTATACAACGTCTTTCTCTTCCAAGGAGCCCTTAGAAGAGAAATCACTTCTGCTTTGGCTATCTCAGACCTGTTCTTGGTCTTCTTTACGTCAATGATCAGCCATTCACCCCCTTCTTGGATTAAATGCTTCACGTCCTTCAGCAGGAACTTTTTCCCAGCAAATTCAACTAAACTTACACTACTATACAAGAAAGGGGAAAGGGAGGACATAAGAAATTATAGGCCAATATCCTTACTAATAGTAGCCTATAAAATAATAGCAAAGGTCCTCGCCAACAGAATAAGAAATGTGACTAATAAATGCTTCCATTTAGATCAAACAGGATTCATCCCAGGAAGATTCATACTGGACAACGTAATCTGTCTGAATGAAGCAACCAAGTTAATAAGAGACAAGAGGTTACAAGCAGCCATCCTCTTCTTTGACTTCAAAAAAGCCTACGATCAAGTTAACTGAGACTTCCTGCAGCAATGCATGGAGAAAATGGGAGTGGGGACAATTTTTAGGAGTTGGGTGGGAGTCCTGTACGTGGACGCAAGAGGACCCCTCCATAGAAAGGCTACAGACCCTGGATGACGGACGGAATAAGCGGATCCAACTTCCAACAGTGATGCTATTCGCAGATGACCTAACAGTCCTCATAAGAGCGTCGGACTCATATGGAAGCCTTCCAACTAGCATCTGAAATGAAGATAAATTGGAAGAAAACAATAGGATGGTGGATCTCAGAACCCCCCCCCCCCCCCCCCCCAGCAATGAATCAATGCAGGGAATACAATGGATGGACCACCTAGTCCCCTTTAAATTCTTGGGAATCACAGTTACCCTGGCAAGGACCAGCAACTCAATAGCAGCGAGCCTACTCGCAGCCGTCATGAATAAATATAACGGATGGCAAAAGATATATGCATCACTGATGGGTAGGGCGATAGTCATCAATTCGTCGATCTTCTCCATGGTCTGGTACATGGCGTCAATCTGGGACCCACCCACCAGCTTCACGAAGGACTTAAAGAGAAAGGCAGCAACCTACTTATGGACAGGGGATGCATCCAAGAACCAATTCATATCCAAAGTAGACTGGAAATATGTAACCAACCCAATAGAGGAAGGAGGGATTAGTCTCATAGATCCCGTAACGGAATATAAAGCTCTCTAGACAAAGTGGATCTTAAGACTGTTGTTGAAAACGGAACTACGATGGCAAGAAATGGCCTTATACCAAATAAGAAACCTGCTTCCCTTTAAAACACATGATAGCATAGAAGGCCATTCATGGATCATGAACAGATACTGGACACCCAGAAGAGAAGGAGGCAGACCTAGGCAAAGGAACCAGTTACCGAACACTGATCCCCCAAGCGGCCACTGGGCAAAACTGATAGCAGCATGGAGGGAGGCTTTCCCACAAAGAAGGAGAAGTCCAAGAACAAAAGAAGAAATTTTGAGACAACCGCTGTTTGGGAATGACTTCTTGAAAGATCAGAATGGTAAGCCATGGTCTCTCAAGGCAAGGGGGAAGAGATGGAGGACTTGGGTAGAGAGAGGCATATGGAAGATCGAACACATATGGGATGAAGGAAACAGCAAGTGGAAATCAGAAGGAGACCTTAGAACTAAGCTGAGAGGCCATCACAATTTACAGCAAAACCTAGAGGAATTGATAGACAGTATCCCAATAGCTTGGAGGTCAACGCTAAAAAGAAGTATAGTTTGGAAGAAAGGTGACTGGGCAACATTGAAGACACAAGAAACTCCCTCAGTAGCCCTTCGTTTCATAAGATACGAGGGAACTGATAGACGCATAGCCAAATTTGAAGTACATGAGTTGGAGAACACAGATAAAGCAATAGTGGAGGTCAGAAAAGATGCCCTAATCAACCTAGATTTTACCCTACAAGACTTGAGGAAGGTCAGAGAACTTAAAAACGAGCAAAAAGGACTAAGGAAAGGAAGAAAGAAGGCAGAACCCCCCCACCTGTTTGTTTAGACCAAATAAAGACATATCGGAATTAGAAGTCGACCCCAACGAGTGGGGCTGGTATCAGAACAGGGGGAGAGGAAGGGCCAAAAAGTGGATCCCGCTGCACGAATACACAGTAAAACGGGGGTATAAGATAAGACGCAAGCTAGAAAATCCACAACCGATCATAGCGGCAAGGTGGGAAAAAAACCTCCAAATAGACCCCGCTTTCTGGCAAACAATCCCATGGACCTACTATGCAACGATCAGGCCTCAGAAAGTGAGAAGCTTGCAATGGTTGATAATTTACATGGCAGTGCCCACCAATGAATGGTTAGAAACAAAGAGGAGAAAGGAGGATAGAACAGAATACTCAGCTTGGTCCAATCTATCTAACAATGAATTCCCGACAGACCAAATCCTCCTACTAACAGCAATAGACAGAGAAGGCTTCATCCCTGAGGAGGATAAGGAGATCACAGAGTTACTGCGAAGAACAACCCTGTGGGTAATATGGAGAGCCAGATGTGGAAACACAATAGGAAAAAAGAAGATAACGGCAAATGAATCATGGGAAGAGGCAAGGGAAATGGTAGAAACAGGGGTTAGAGTGGAATGGAAGCGAACCCTTGGGAGAATGGACAAAGAAATAGAGGATCAGAAGAGGACTAAAATACAGAAAGAATTTGAACAGCAGTGGCTGAAGGAGGGGCTATTGGCAAGGATAAACAGAAAAACCCTTCAATTCACGAGCTGGTGGGATCCGGGCAGCCCAAGAACAAGTCAGAATAGCACAAGCGCAATGGACTTAGACTGATAAGAAAGGAAAACTCAGAGGAGGAACAAGTGCAACCATAGAATAGGGGAGGGTAAGAGGAAGTAAGGATTAGTGCCATGAAGAAGCAAAAGACCAAGGACAGCACTTCCAAACGGAGGATCGGGACAGATGGAAAACCAAGACAAAATAGAAGAGGACAGTCCAAAAGGAAACAGCAGCAACACCAACCCGC